TGAGCACAAGAGTTTGCATATATATGTATTTCTTCATTTTCTCTTTTGTGGGGGAATGTGAGGAAAAGATAAAATAAAGGGCGGTGCCGCCCCACATGCACCGCCTCAATTGTGATTAAAAAAATATTTTATTATTTGCAATTTGTTGGCAATTGGCCAACTTGTTAGGCCTCTGTTTTCCTATAAGTAGAGGGGCTCGGCAGAAGGAGAAGACGCACCAAAATAAGAAAGAAAGAGAGAAGAAACAAAAAGAAAGGAAAGAAAATAAAGATATATCTCTAAATATCAGATATAAAATTAACAAAAGAGAAGAAACAAGTGATATTTTTATTAGTTTCAGAATATCTCTTTCATTTCCAAGTGCTCAATTCTCGATTCCGTTCCAGTTTGCCGGAGCTCGTAAATCTGGTGTGCTACAAATTAAAAGGCGTTTGTCGTTGCATCTTTGGGAAAGTTAATGCCTGAACCTTTAGCTGCCACACAAGGCGTATTCTTCTTGCGGAAAGAGTTTTACTCGTCTCGGCTAAAATCTTTCCGTTTTTCAGTTGTAATTTATTTTTTCAGTTCAATTTTAATTTTTAGTTGTTAGATTATTTGTAAGAACTGAAAATTATATATCAATTCGTAGGATTCCCGTTTAGTTTCACACCAAATATCCAACAGCTAATTATAATCAGTAATAAGTTCATCAATGTGAAGTAGCAGCAGTAGTACTTGAAAAAAATGATATTGTAGACTATTTTTTTCTTGCATCCATATGCATTTTTTATATATATAGATTCAACAATTATTTTTCCTTACCGCAAGCAATTCTTCCACCAGCGTTTCTAGTGGATTTGCTCAGTTCATGTCCACCTGAACAAGAAGAGGCAGTCGTTAGATGGTAGAACAAAATTTAAGTGATTTCAAAATTCAAGTGGTGAGATAGATAACCTCAGGAAGTGTTATTTTTCATTACAAATTCTTGTATGAGGCGGCGTAACCGCTAGGCGGGTCGACCCGCCATACTAGATAAATAAAAACGTATGTTTATACCATCAAACATCATGCTTTGTCATAATTCTGTTTATGAACATTTTTTAAGTATGGCATTTTCTAATGAAAGTATGAGTAGTTTGTGAAAACTGAAATTAGGACGGCTTAACACAAGACTTACCGATTTTTCATACACGATCACATTTTTTCAAATAACTGTTTTCCAGCATTCAAGATACAGATGTATTGTTTAGTACTTGCAGCAAACTAAAACAAAAGACAATAAGCACTAAACAATATGCAGTTTATCAAGTATCGTGCTTTAAGCAAATGTTTTCGTTAGATTAAACTTATTGCTAGCTGTTAAAATCTAGTTTAACTATCTTGGGAAATAGATAAAACGTATAAACTCACCTCGTCCAAGATCATCGGGATCAGCATGGACAACCACAGCTCGTCCGACTATGGAATTCTAACAAATGCCTTATAATTATATTCAGATATGTTTCGAACAATGCTGTGACTTAAAACAAATCATACTTTCAAATTTGCTGCAGGACAAACTTTTTCTAACATAAATGGATTTAAACTTCAATGTTATTATTTTTGTTTGTTTACATAAAATGGAGACAATTACCATCTTCCCCAACAGTGATGTTAGCAAGGTCGCCAGCATGGCGAACTTCATCATCGGGGGCACCTTGCTCATTGCCAGCTGGATTGAAGTGGGGCCCTAGAGACCAAGTTTATAGAACATGAAAAAAAATACAAAAATTGTTCAGAAAAAGAAGACAAGTTAAATCTAAAACATCAGTCAATGTAAAAACCAAGTATTCATACACAAAAAAGAGAATCAGTAAAATAACAAGAAAAAAACTGCACGAGAATTTACCAGTCGACATGCAACCATTCGTGGTGTGGCCAAGGGCATGCACATGAAATCCATGGAGCCAGGGGCGGAGCTACTCATATGAGAACCTAGGCTGTAGCCCGGGTGACAACCGCAGCCTGTTCATATGTATTATTATGTTCTTTTTATTTTCGTTAATTGAGCCCGGTAGAGTTCACTACAAGAAAATGATAAAATTCCAACGGAAATTTATTTTAAAAGAATTATTCCAACGGCAATTTCAACGGATATTTCAATACTATTATTTCCGTTGGAATTTTCAATGGATTTCAACGGAAAGTCCAACGAAATATTCTGTTAGAATGGGTTTTTCATTGTAATTTCTGTTGGATTTTGACGATTCCAACGGTGGATTTTCCAACAGGGGTGGAAAAAAAATTCCTACGGAATTTGCATATTCCAACGGAAATTCCTACGGTAAAAAACCGTTGGAAATATAGCCGTTGGAATCATCATATTCCATCTAAAATTTCAATGAAAAACACATTCCAACGAAATATTTCCGTTAGAATTTCTGTTGGAACTATTCCAACGGAAGTTATTCCATTGAAATATCCGTTGGAATTTTCATTGGAATATATTACCATATGATTTTCCGTTGGAATATAACATTTTTATTAACTTGTTAGCATAAATAGAGCCTGAATAGGAGATGTATTTATCCTGACTGAGTGATGTAAGAACTTGGTAAGTTAATATTTAAGAATTAATGAGATTTATTTACGATAAATATAATATTTATTTAAGTTTTCCTATATTCATATATTTTAGGCATATTTATATTTTGTATTTATCTTTTCACCTCTTATATGTAATTTTTTGTTTCATTTAATATCTTAACTATACATTTTATTTATGTTTGAATGTTGGTTAATTGCTAAATAAACCTTAACCTTTTTGCGTTTGACAATTTTATTCCAATCTTTGGGTAATTGCAATATAATCTCGACCTTAATTTACTTGTTGCAAATTTGGGTGCAGAGTGATTGATTTTAGGGATTTGTTGATTGATTTTGCGTCCAAGTCGTCCATGGACACGGGTTTTTATGCCATTCACGTAGCTAGTTGACAATTTCCACGTATTCAATGTATATCCACGCACAAAGCTGAAAATTCCACGTCAATGTAAGCTACCGGTGATGAGTCTCCTCCTAGATCTGGAGTGAATCGGTAAATATGAGCTCCGATCTGTTCGAACTGCCTCCAAATCGACCGACTTTTTAAAGTTTCAATCGGTATTAAGTTCGATTTGCAATAAGTAAATTGAGGTCGAGATTATATTGCAATTACCTAAAGATTGGGATATAATTGCCAAACGCAAAAAGGTTAAGGTTTATTTAGCAATTAACCCTTGAATGTTCTTATATTTATTGATTATACGATAAATCTTTACTGAAGTTCATTTACTTTTTAGTTTATATACTTTATACTAACTAATCAATGCTTAATATTCAAGGTTTATTTTGTAGTAACTTATATTTTATTTAGTGTGGATTTAGGATTAATTTGGTGTTTAAAATCAATCATACTTATCAATTATCAATTAAATCAATTAGTAGTAATTTATTTTTTTGTGTTGACTTATGATTAATTTAATTTTAAAGCCGGTCATACTTATATTTTATCACTATGGCTACTGTCAAAAGGATATAACAGTTAGACAGTTATATTTTTTTAATAATTGACATATTTTCAACTAGACATGCACAATAAAATAAATAAAAGTACGACATTTCATTACATAAATGTACATATTTGTGTAAAAGATATATGAGTCGACCCGATTGCAATTAGGATGTCTCATGTAAGAACATTTGATATTATAAAATGAAACTTCGTTAAAATAACTTTAGCCCATGTAGATTTTGAATTCTGGTTCCGCCCCTGCATGGAGCCCGGGCTTTAGGCCGGAAATGTTTCCAGTCACAGTTGTCAGGCCTGTAACATTAAAAAAAAATATACATCTCGTTAATGGTTGTTATGGAGAAAGAGAGTTACCTCAGATCACGCCTTGTGCCTGCAGTGTAGATAGAGAGCCAATCGATTAATGAAGAAGGGTTCTTTCTAGCGATGAAAATTTACACCGATGCAGAATGAAGTAAGTGAGTAGTTAGAAAGAAAGTGTAATATGACTTTCTCAGCTCAGTATTCTAGAATAACAAATTTCTTAGGGATTGCAAACGAGTTGAGCGACTCGCGAGAGTGGACGCTCGACTCCAGCTTGAGTTGAGCATTTCGAACCCGAGCTCAAACTTGTGTAGTTTGTACGCTCGAATGCTTTTCCAAACCTGTTATTTGTATTTGTTGAATGTGGGTATATATTATATAAATTTGAGGGTGAAATTCTTGGGGGTATAATATGCTTTGTATTTGCTTTCCAAATTTTAGCCTTTGGGAATGAATATTTTACCTGTCATGTTAATAATTTGGAAAAAGCTGCTTGTACAACTTTTTTGTACAACGTTCAATGACAACATGATGTGCCACAATGTGGGTGGTTGAAATGCAAATAAATGTATGGTTAAGATTTAAGTTAACGATACTTTTAACCATGTTTAATATTTTTTATATTAAAAAACCTATGTAAATATATTGATATAGTAAATATTATTGTGAGATACAATTCTTTTAATATTTTGATGTACAAATTTTATAAACAAAACATTTATTTTTGTTACTTTTATGTATATTTATATGTCAAAAATACTATATAAATAATTTTAAAATATTTAAAATTAACTATCCTGTTTAGATATTAACCCGGTTACCCGACGACCTGCTGACCCGGAGACCTGCCCGGGTCGATTTTTTCGGGCCGGGTTTAAAAATATGGGTTATCCAATCACAATAACAATATCAAGGAGTTATAATCCTTTATCTAATGTACAGGGACTATACCTTCCTAACACATAAAGAGCATTCCCTTAAAAAACTATATGCATATGGATCAATTGAAAGCAAGGCCGTTATAACACGTCCTTTATTCCCTATTATAGTCCACACACATATAAAAGTGTTCAACAAACAAATAATGATTCACTATATAAATACAAACCTAAAGTTACAAACCATCCCTCAACTCACAAGAAACACCCTTACAACTAAAAAAAAAAAAATGGAAAACTTCGAGTTGGTTTTCATCCCCTTCCCCGCCCCTAGCCACCTCTCCACCACCGTCGAGGCCGCCAAGCTCCTTCTCGACCGGGACCCACGCCTCACCATCACCGTCCTCGTCATGAAACTCCCGAACGACCAAACCCTCGACAAATTCACCCGAACGGACCTTTTTCCCCGCCTTCGATTCACCGACATCCCGAACCAAGATTTCGAGCCCTCCCGCCACCGAACAAAATTGTTTGACTTTGTGAACTCCTGCTTGCCCCAAGTTCGGGAGGCCATCTCGGGCCTCGTCAACTCCCGGCCCGACCCGTCCTCCCGTCTCGCGGGCCTCGTCCTCGACATGTTCACCACCGTTTTCGTCGAGGCCGCGGACGAGCTCGGTCTCCCGTCCTACGTCTTCTTCACGTCGGGTGCATCGGCGCTCGGCCTATTCAACTACCTCGTCTCCCTCAAGTTCGAGAAAGGCGAGGATCTCACCCGATACAAGGGCTCGGACCTCGACCTACCCGTCCCCTGCTTCCTGAGCCCTGTTCCGGCTAAAGTTCTCCCGAGCGTGTTCGTGAATGAGGACGAGTCCCCGATTTTCCTCGACTTGTTGAAGAGAGTGGCCGACGTGAGGGGGGTCATGGTCAACACATTCGAAGGGCTCGAACGGTTCGCGCTCGACTCGCTAAAAATGGACGGGAGGACGCCGAGGGTCTACCCGGTGGGTCCGATAATGTGCGGGCCGAGTCGAACTGCGGACGAGGACAAGGTCTTGGAGTGGCTCGATGGGCAGCCAGATGGGTCGGTGGTGTTCCTCTGCTTCGGGACGATGGGGAGCTTCAGGCGGGCCCAGGTGGCGGAGATCGCAGCGGGCCTGGAACGGAGCAGGGCCCGGTTCTTGTGGTCGCTGAGGAAGCCAGGCAAGGGGACTCCGACCGAGTACGAGGATTTCGAGGAGGTCCTTCCGAAAGGGTTCGTCGGGCGAACGGAAGGGGTCGGAAGGGTGATCGGGTGGGCCCCCCAGGCGGAGGTGCTGGCCCACCGGGCAGTGGGGGGTTTCGTGTCACACTGCGGGTGGAATTCGGTGCTCGAGAGCGTGTGGGAAGGCGTGCCGATGGCCGCGTGGCCGATGTACGCGGAGCACCAGACGATCGCGTTTTTGTTGGTGAGGGAGTTGGGGATGGCGGAGGAGGTGTGGATAGACTACTGGATGGATTCCGGCGGGGAGGAGGAGCCACCGGCGATGGTGGCGGCGGCGGAGATAGAGGCGGCGGTAAGGCGGCTGATGGCGGGCAGCGATGGGGTAAGGGAGAGAGTGAAGGAAATGCAGGGGAAGAGCAGGGCAGCTTTGGAGAAAGGCGGGTCGTCCTATCATGCTCTAACTAGTTTTATTGAGGATGTTGTTAGGAATGTTAGTTAGTGTCCTAATAAGTTTCTTAGCACTTTCAACAATTTAATTGACTCTAAAATCCAGAAATTCTATGGTGCCACAACATGATGTGGCACATTATGATTGGTGCCACAACATGATGTGTGATAGATGTGGGCCTTGTGGCACCAATCATAATGTGTCACATCATGTTGTGACACCATAATATGGTGTCACATGTGGCACCATAGAATTTCTGCTCTAAAATCATCCCAAAATTGTTTCTGTAACATAGAAACCTTTTTATTATTATTATTATATTATTTTTATTTTATTTTTTTATTTTTTTCGTTTTACTTTTCTGTTCAAACATATCTTGGTGATTTGAGATAGATGGTTATACATGTCATCTAATTTATATTTAGCTTTATTAACAATATCACCATTTGTATATATTATGTTTCTAGGATTTATTTATTCCTAATTTCTTTAACTAATATTTTAGAACCCTTGAATAATTTCTGATTATTATTAGAGTTGTTGGTTATTGAATCAAATTTGAGATTTGATCTCTATATATCTCTAAATTAGTTATGTTGGTTTCGAAAAACCATATTTACTTGTTTTATTGTACATTCGTTGGTTGACTTAGTCCGTAAAAATTATATGACATGATGACTGACCATTTGGTTTGTTGAGATAATTTCAATCCTACCAGTGAGATCAGTCGAATTTTTTACTTTGGTGTATATGTGAGTATCTATAATCATATAGTAAAAAAAAAACCGATGAGGACAGTGCTCAACTCACTTTGTTGAGTGTCTACAATCATATAGACACTCAACACATGAGTGTCTATAATCAAAAACCCGATATGACCACTTGGTTTGTTGAGTGTCTATAATCATATAGTTGACACTTTTGGGAAATTCTCTGTACAAGAGGCCATGCATCACTAGTTTATAAATCATCTCCCAAGACCCATCACCTTATCTTACCCTTGCCCCTTCCATATTCAAACACAGCAACAAAAACAATTCCCACAAAAACAACTCAGCATCATCAACCCAAAAATTATATATATAAAGAAAATAAAATCAATAAAAAACATGGAAAACTTTGAGTTGGTACGTTAATTGTTCATCCCCTCCATGGCTGAGCCACCTCGCCTCCACCGTCAAGGCCACCAAGCACCTCCTCGACCTAGTTCAAGGATATTATCGCATGCATCTAATTTGTACACATTTTTTTTTACAGAAAATAGTTATTCAAAAAGATTGGAAGAATTTGTTAAGAATTATACAACTATTTGTTTTCTAAATTTGTATCTAATTTATACTATTTTTAAATTAATTTATATTTGGAATTATTTTCATAAATAATTGATCGATATAGTTTTGGCATAAGTATCTTCACATTTGTTACAAAAAAAAATGAGATTCAGATTTTGGTACAAAAAAAAAAAATGATATGAAAAAAATCAGATTCAAATTTTGACATTTAATTCTCCAAATTTGTTAGTGGAATTCAGATTTTGTCACTAAAGATTCAAACGTGTTTATCCAAAATTTTCACTAATAGTAAGTCAAACATTATATTGTTTTTGTCAAACTTTCTATTAATGTACTTTTCCATCAACCTATCTCTATATATATAGATATAGATAAATAGTTATTCTTTTTATATACATATATATAAATATAGATTAATTTTTTAAAATAATATAATATTTGTAATTTCAATACATAGTAAACTGTTGAGTAAATGAATTTTAAACAATACATATACAAAATTATAAAATAAATGATATGTAAATAATATTTTAAATAAGAGATGAATATAAGAAATAATATATCCAAGTGTCAAAATAATATCTAAAATTACATGATAAAATTCAAACTAATTTTTAACACATTATTACAAACTTTGCATTACATTTATATTGTATTTATTGTTTCCTAGCATCGTTTACTACATTATTACAAACTTGATATCAATTATAATATAAAATTAATAAAAAAAAACGAGCATTATAAACGAATAATATGTCGAATTGTGCATTATAATTATTAAAAACTAAAAAATTGTTTATAAAGTTGGAGAAATGCTACGGTCTCATTAAGGAACTACTCCGTCAAAGTTTATAACCGTTACACTTAGTTTTGATTTTGATTTACATTTTTTGGCCACACTTTGCCCTTTTCCCCATTTTCCACAAATTTGAATTTCATACTGACTCTCTGCCCGCTCTCACTTTCTTTCCATCTCTATCCTCACACACCGAAGCACACACAGCAGCAAACAACACACACACTGTCTCAGATTTGGGAACGCTGAAAGCATGAACCACTACCATATTTACGAGGCCATCGGCCGCGGCAAATACTCGGTGAGTTTTTCAATTCAATTTTCATGCCGCCTGCAACAATTTTTCCATGTCTTAGGTGCTTTTTTTCGTTTGTTAACTGCGTCTTTGCGAATTTACCGTTGATGGCAGACTGTTTACAAGGGAAGAAAGAAGAAGACGATTGAGTACTACGCAATTAAGAGCGTCGATAAATCTCACAGGAGCAAGGTTCTTCAAGAAGTAAGCACCTGCTATATATCTTTGTTGTATCTGCGATTTGTTAGTGTTTTTTTCTTCAATTTTTTTTTGGCGTTCATGGCGTTCTTTTTATGGCCTGGACTGGATCTGTGGCTAGCTGAGTGAATTTGGATTTCCACTACAGTAGTTTAATTTTGATACTGGAAATGCGATTGAGAAAACGAATACTGAATTGGGTTGCTGTTTAGATTTATTTCATTAGTAACCTTAGCTTGAAGAAGGTTGCTGTTGAGTCTAACTTTATTAATTAGTGATTTCTGTAAGAGATCGGAAGTTGGGCTTGAATGAAAATTCAACCTTTGAAATTGATTGTTAGGCCTTAGCTGAACATTTTTATTTAGTGCTTATATGTTGATATTGAAGCTATGGTGTTTTTTAGTTCTAATTGATGGTGAGTCATAGTGTATCACGTCTCGTGGAACAATAGAATATCTTTTACTATGACGAATCTACAAGTAATCTTATTAGCATATAGGCACATTGTTATCAGATCTAAGGTTTTCACATCCTAAAAAATGTTACTGAGTGTTTCTATGTAGCATTCACAGAGCTGCACCTGGTTGCACAGAGTGCCAATATTTTCATTTAGAGGAGAAACCTTGTAATGTGATATATCAGATTGTTTCAATCTTTCATGTTTTCAAGTATTATGCTGTCTAATTAGTGGAAATAATTTTTGGCGGAATTCCTAGTTGAGGAAACACTCTACTTAAAAATTTGAGATGTCGCAAAACTTGTACATACATGTTTATGCAACTTTGGCCCAAGTTTTGCATAATTAATTCTTCATATCTTTGGCTTTATTTTATTTACAGGTTAGAATTCTTCACACACTGGATAACTCTAACGTGCTAAAGTTCTACTCATGGTACGATTACAGCCAGACGAAGATATATTCTACTTGGCAGTTGGACTTCTATTCATCCCTATAGGGCTATTCATACTTAATTGATTTTCTCGTCAATCGACGTTGTAGGTACGAAACATCAGCGCATTTATGGTTAGTTTTGGAGTACTGTGTCGGAGGAGATCTAATGACTTTATTACAACAGGTAATTGATTGATGACTTTGTTTTGCTTCATCAAGTATGGTAGTGGTTATCTTAGATGTTTTAGTAGAACACCGGTACGTGATATGTGTCCGGAGTGAGGTGGAATAGGATCCATATTTCTGTATAATTTTGTTCATTAATTCCGTAAAGCAAGTTCACTAGAATATACAAAAGAAGGAAGGTCTTGGTGGATATTAGCCAGGCTGGTTGTAGACTTTAATAGGCATCTTGGTGGAAGCTGCCTAAGATACTCAGAAAGCCAGTCTTGTGCTTGGGAAAGTAGTTCACAAACTTGCTAAACTTAATCAAATAGTACCGTGGTGATTATCTGTGTTTCTATAAGAAAATCCGAATATATCAGTAGTGAAGCATTCTGAATGTGCTGCAATGAAGCTTGACATTACACTGTATTTTTTTTTTTTTTTTTT